TTTCTGGTTGCTTGTATTTAGTTTGCCATCAAGGAAAATGTCAAAGATGCTTTCTGGGAAAGGAAGAAGCAGCCCCTGACACCCAGAAACCAGCCTGGTGCTATCAGGTCAAAATTCTATAGATAGACCTAGTACTAAGATCTTGATTTCTAATAATATTCTCTAATAAAAGAAACAGTGTTCCTTGGAGAAATGCTGGTTCTAGAGATGGGGCAGAAATATACAAGATGTGTCTGGAGTACCCCATAGAGCCCCCAATGGCTAAAACTGGAATAAATTGAGCAACAAAATAAATAGTATAGTATTGGATTATACAGTGATACCTCGGTTCTCGAACGCCTCGGATTTCGACCAAATCGGTATTCGACCAGGAGATTCGAGAAACTTTTGTCTTGGAATCCGAACAAATATTTGGAACTCGAACTTCCGAGATGAACCGAGTTGAGCCGAATGGCGTTCATTCGGCCCAGCGCGCCTTGCTTGCGGCATCAGTGTGAGTGCAGAGAGAGAGTCACGCTTTGTGGAGAGAGTCACGCTTTACACTGAATTTAACCCTTAGACATACTGTACACTTTTATTTCTTGTGGAGACTTATGTTTTTCTACATATTATATACAAATTAGGCCAGTAAATAGGCATTTTCTGGGGCTTGGAACGAATTAATCCAGTTTCCATTATTTCCTATTGGGTTTCATTGCTTCGGTTCTCGAACAATTTGGTTCTCGACCGTCCTCCTGGAACGAATTATGTTCGAGAACCGAGGTATCACTGTAATCCAAAGTATAAAAAAAAAAATCTGTAAATCCGTATTTATATAAATAAGTAGGGAAAGGAAAGGAGGGGGAGGCAAATCTGCCACACGAAGAACTCCAGATAATTTATGTAGCTATTCCCTACTCGAGGAGATGGAACACAACTTGCCATCCACTTAAGTGTAGGTTATGCTTAGGGGCTTGCTTCCAAAGAAGAGTATAGAAAGAGAGGGTCTAGTACCTGTACAGCAAGGAAACCTGTCAAACATTACGTTAGCCAAGGTTAACATCATCATTGATGTCAGTTGATAGCATGTACCCTTGATATTAAAATGTCAAGAATAGTTCTTTACCTCTCTGATTTTCATCCAAAAAAAATCTGTAACTCTAGTCTAATCATGAGAAAAACATCAGGCAAACCCAAATTGAGGGACATTCTGCAAAATCATCAAGATCATCGAAAACAATTTCTTACACCCTAAGTAGACATGACAACTCAATGTAATTGTGGTGTCCTGGATGGGATCCTGGGACAGAGAAAGGACATTAGGGAAGAACTAATGGAATCCAAATAAATTATGAAGTTTAGTGTATAATGTATCAGTATTGATTCATTACTTATGACAAACGTACCATACTCATGTAAGATGATAACAGGAAGAAATGGGTGAGGAGTATACAAGAACTCTGCATTATCCTTGCAACTTTTCTGAAAACCTAAAACTATTCTAAAATAAAAAAGTTTAAAATAAAAGAGAGAGAGAAATTCTATAGAAAGAGCAGAGGAACTTTAGGTATAGATACTTAATTATTGTCCATTTTATCACCTTGTGAAGAAATATGCTTTTTTTCCTGTTTTTCTCCTCAGCCTTAGCTACCTGGAAGATGCCTGGTTCTAAGTTAATCTGCATATGCTCCATATAAACCCTTAGCTATGAAACTGATGGAGTATTCATCATATCACTGCCTGAGTTGGTGGGTTTTTTTGTTTGGTTTGGTTTTGAATGGTCTCTTGACTGATCTGATCAAATTATTTGAATAGGGCAAAAGAATGCATATTTATTTTACCACTCAACCCCATTTTGGCCACCATTTCTCTTTTTTCTTAACTAATATTTTGATATCATAAAAATGCTTTTGAATTAATTATATTTCCTACTTCACCTTTGTCCTGTTGCAGTGACAGCTCTGAGTCAAGAGCTGTGTCTGAATTGTTCAGCAGTGTACCTCCAAGCTCAATGCATTTTTGTTGAATAAGTGAATAAATAAATGATGAAAAAATAAAATTTTCTATACACAAATGTCATGATTTGGGACAAAAACTGGGGGGAATTTTAATAGAACATGATTTCTAAGAGGCTTAAGATAAACTGCTCAAACCAGAATGCCCTCTTTGGCAAATGTCCTTATTTCTAATATTTTTAATAATCCAACGTAGCATATCAGTTCAAGTAGGAGAACCAAGAAACCATTTGTAACTAACCTATTTTGGAAGGCAAATAATTATATTAGTTAACACTAAAAAGTTCTTTGCTGCAACAAAATTTTTATGACAACTATGATCAATGACAACTGGTTGAACAATCTTTTAGGCTAAAATTATGGTATCTTTATGGCATTGAACTTTTGAGCTTCAATAATTTGCCCATGGGTTGTAAAGGAGAACAGTTTTCTAAGAAAAATCACAACCCTGTGCCTCTTACCTTCAGAAAATGAATTCAGCCTCTTCTTGGGAGTGTGTCTGGTCATTTTTAGGAGAACATAAGCCCTACCCTCCAACCAGTTGATTTTCTGAGCTTAGGAATCCACCTTTCATTTGGCAATATAAAATATTTTTAATCTAGGGATTTATTAGACTTATAACCTCATATTCTCCACAACCAGTTATTATATAAAACTCAGTTTTATGAAATATTTGTAAAAGATACCGGAAAGTGCACTGGCCGGTTTGGCTCAGTGGACCAGAGACCTGGGTTTGGTTTCCGCTAAGGGCTCGTACCTTGGTTGCAGTTTTTTCCTGGCCCCAGTTGGAGTTGTGTGGGTGGCAGCCACTCGATGTGTGTCTCTCATGTTGATGTTTCTCTCTCTCTCCCCCTCCCGCTCTCCCTCCCATTCTATCTGAAGATAAATGCAAAAATGTCCTCAGGTGAAGATAAATAAAATAAAATTTAAAAATACCTGAAAGCTATGCAGTCCATTCATTCTTTAATATTAGTGATTCTTAACCTGAGGTTCATGGGCACACACACACACCCCAAAATTGTATACAAAATGATGAGTAAATGGTCTATAGCTATATCAAAATTTTGGAGTGGTCCATGACTCAAAGAATATCAGTCCCCCTCACTTAATTCAAAGTTTAATATTGGATCAAGTCAAACCATCAGACAGCTGCATACTTGTTCAGTATTATTTTTGCTGCATTTAATATTGCTTATTTTTTACTGTGTTCGGGTGTACTGGTATCAACCTGAATGAAAGGGAAGCTGTCATTGTCAGGATACTTGAAAACAGTGCTATACACCATGGTGGCCACTATGAAACCCAATGGGACAGATTTCTACTGGATCTGAGTCCTAGGAAAAGCTGGGCTTCTCCCAAACATATTGTTTGGTTTTTCTTATCAGTACTGTGAATCTTGAAACTGCTCATGAGTCTCTCTTCACTTAGAGAAGTAGAAAACTCAGACCAAATTCACAGCTACCATTTATCAAAGGTATAGGTTCTTATGACATGCATTTCAAAGTAATGATCTAAATTAAAACTGCATATTATTAGTTTCCTGTCTTTGTTCCCCATCATCACAATTTCCTCACCTACTTCATGTTACCCTATTTGTTGAGATATATATATATATATGTATTTTAATCCTCACCCAAGGAAATTTTTCTATTTATCTTCAGATACAGTGGGAAGGAGAGAGAGAGAGAGAGAAACATCAATGTGAGAGAGACACATCAATTGGTTGCCTCCCATATGACCTCAACCAGGGCTGGGGATGAACTGCAACCGAGGTATGTGCCCTTGACCAGAATTGAACCTGTGACTTTTTGGTCTGCAGGCCCGCACTCTAACCACTGAGCGGAACTGGCCAGGGCTGTTTGCTATATTTCTTTAAAACTTCATATCCTTCTTGGAATAAGATGTGAAATACAAATAGGAAATATTTAAAAAAACCAACTGAGCTAACACCTAAAGATAAAAATTCTATGAAACTGCACTTTACCAAAATAAATATTCTTACTGCCTTCCTTTTTAAAAATGAAGACAACAAAAATGAGAAAATAACAAAAATTTACTCCTTAATGCATAGAAAAATACTTTAATATATAAGATGGCTCGGTGATGAAATGAACGTATCAGAAGCCACAAGTGTACTACATCAAAATTAAACATTACTTTTTTAGGACAATACTGGTATTAGTTTTGGCACAACTTTAAAGTCAATATTATGTACAAGATACCTTATAAAATTGGTTGCAATTTTACTCCAGTGACTGTTGCATTAAAAAATAGGTTGCATTTGCATTTTAAGTGTTTTCTTTAAAGATGCTTTACAAAGATGCCTTCTAAGTAAGAAACTATTAACAAATTACTTGAAAAGAAGGAAATGACCATTCAATAGCCAGAAAGCAATTACACATCAACAAAAATACAACCTTCATCAATATTACAGAATTAGAAATAACAATTTTGATAAATACCACAAGAAATACTTGACCTCATAAATACTAACAGTTAAACTTTCAGGTTGGTGTCATCTTGCTTGAGATATTTTCCATGTTCTCTCTTAAATATAAAATCCACGTTTTATAAAATCCATTCCTACAAGGTTACAGAGGAGAAATTGTTAATATTAATTCTAATATGACTCTTAAGATTCCCTCCTTTTAAACAACTCTATTGAAAAAATTAATTTTAAAAGGCTAAATACATGTCCAATGTTTAACAACTTCATCAACAAATGAAATACGAATAATTACAGTATGAAATGGCTTTCTCATGAACTATTCATTGGAAAAAAATAATAACTTTAATGATCTATTAAAATGTATTATATTCCAAGATCATATAGAATCAAGTGTTTGTCCTTCAGAGCTCCTGTGGTTTCTACATTATATAAAATCAGTAAAAATGGAACTCAAAGCTGATTGTATTAGAAAAAATATGGCAAGTTTGCTAGTTTGTTTGTTGGATAAATGAAAAATCAAAATGATTAAATATTGAATTTTTAGGAAAACTAAACTGTTACTCTCTTAAGTAGACATTTAAATTACCTCCTGTTATCTTCTGTGGAAAATTATACTTGGGAGGCATCACCTGTCTTCTGCCCATTCCATGAGACCTTGAAAGCAAGCAGTCTACATACATGTCCCAGAAATCCTGAGCTATGCTTAAGAAGACATTATAATGTCTAGGCCACTGGGATTTTTGCAAGAACAACATGAAATTCCAGAAAGCGTTCACATTGTGCTCTATCTTGAGTTCCTTGAGATCTATCAGTGTCAGAGAGCAAGAGTTCCAGCACTGGAGATCGATGTCTTCCGTGATCCCTGGGCTGACACTGGCAAGCACTCCCTTTTGAAATTCAAAATCCGCATTAATCAGACTGATCAGCACCATACACCCCAATGGCAGACAGAACCATCTTCCTGTGGCAAAGTTCATATTCTATACAGAAGAGAAAAAAAAGAGAGAGAGAGAGAGAGGATATGGTTTTAACTTAGAAAGAAAATTATTCAATTACTCAATGATCTCTTTAAACTTAAAAAATTATGAATAATACATATTCATTTTTGATTCAGCCAAATTTGCCTACTATATATTTGTTGGTTTTCCTCTCAGTTGCTCATTCTCAGACCATCCTTTGAAAGGATATCACAATTACAACTTGTTTAATATTCTAATAAACAGTCTTCAGGGGTCACTGAAATCCAACATGTTTATGACGATGCTATAGCTATATTTCATCATATACCTTGAGAGCTGGAAGAAACCTTAGAAAACATGTGCTCCCACCTTATCCCTTACAGCATGGAAAAATTCTCAGTGATGTGGGTCAGGAAGTTCTCCTGTCTCCTGTGTCCCGAGCCAAAACTCCTACCACAACACATTTCAACTAAGTGGATCAAAATGCAGCTCATCATATGTGTAACCATGAGAAAAAGTTCACCCAAATGGTATTGACACTCAAGCAACATTTTAAGTTTCTAAGTTACTGATATTGAAAATGCTGTTTCATTTTATTAATTGAACAATGTTTGTTATGCATTGATTCTCCCAGGTTGTTCCGGATTAACATACATACACGAAGCACCAAGACAATAAAGGTGATATAAGCTAATATGGCATGATGCAGGGGCAATGATATTCAGCAAAATCTTGGCATTTTCTAATGGCTCTTTACACAAGTTTCCCTGCCAATTGATCACTCAGTAAATCACCTCAAAGCACCGAGGTGGAAGTCAAGGACTAAAACTGCCTTTGAACTGCCACAGAGCTACTATATTTCAGGCTGGCATTAGAAATGCCCCTGACACAAGCTTGACAGCCAGGGCGGGGGAGTGGAGTTGTGAAGGCAGGTTTAGAAGACAGGACTCACTCCCTTCACGGTATGCTGCTGATGGCCGCCTACCAAAAAAAGTTACGATGAAGAGACAAATCAAACGAAACCAATTTAAATTTAGGTTAGTAAGGTCATTTCACAACGTCGAAAATTGTGCAAATTACCCAAAATGACAGTGGCCACTTTACAAAGTGAAGGACTAAAAGGGAGGGGCTGGCAGGACCGAAGAATTTTTTCCCCTGTGACTTTCGGGTGACGCTCCCGACCACTGCCCTCCCTTCGGGTGGGGTCACCTGGATGCAGACGAGGGAGCCCGTGCGTGCGGGAGCGGTACCTCTCGGTGGCGGCCAGGGCGCGCGTCCTGGCGCGGTGTCCTGCGTGCGCTGCGCTCCCCGGGGGACGCAGGCTGCTCCTGCCTGGGACGGACCAAAGGTCTCAGCGCGGGCTCGGGACGAGCCCCGGCCCTCCAAGCCCTCACCCCTTGTCCAGCCGGACCCACCCGTGGGGCAGGCGAAAGGCGGGAAGCAGCGCTCTGCGCCCCGCTGCTCCGAGCTCACCCGGTTGAACCGTCTCGGCTCCTTGAGAGGCTCTGTGTCTCCAAAAGCGGCGCCACGGACTCTGCTGCTGCGGCCGCCGGAGCCTCCGGAGTCAGCCGCACAGCCAGAACCGCGCTCCTTTTCTAGGGACAGTGAGGGGGCGGAGGGGCGTGGCCGCGCTCTCAAGGCCCCGCCCTCACCTTGCCCACCTTCCCAGGCCGGAGACCCGCCGGGCCAGCCGCAATCCGCACCGCGGCCAGGGCTGCTGTTCCAGCTCTTTCGCCTACCTGCTCTCTCTCCCTTCTCACCTTCTTCCTTTCCCTCCTTGAGAAAATCCGTCGCGGCAGTAGTGGACATACTCAAGCTGTCTCCTCCGTCTACCCACCCAGCCTCCACGCCCTGTTCTATCCAGAGGAAAACTTTCCAAATGTGTTGTTGAGTTGTATGAGTTCTTTATGTATTTTATTTTATTATTTTGGGTATTAACTCCTTATCAAAGGTATCATTTATAAATATCTTTTCCCCTTAGGTGGGTTGCGTTTTTGTTTTGTTGATGGTTTCTTTAAGATCATTTTTATAAAACTAATGCATGGCTTGGGAAACATATTGGGTTAGGGGGGATTGGGTTTGTTTGGAATATAATAAATTAGATGGATTAATTAACTTGACCAACTATTAAGTCTAAACTTCTCCTTGAATTTATCATAGCTACTTTAAAAGGTAGTGTGTGGCCCAGTGGGTGTGGCTCAGTGGCTGAGCATGGACCCATGCACCAAGAGGTTGCAGGTTGGATTCCTGGCCAGGGTACATACCCAGGTTGTGGGCCAAATCCCCAGTGGGGGGCATGCAGGAGGTGGCCAATTTATATTCTCTATGTTTCTATCTCCCTCTCCCTTCCTTTCTCTCTCTAAAATCAATAAAGAAAGAAAAAAGGTAGTGTGTACTTTTGAGTTTCACCAGTGCGCTTTCTTTTTGCCACAATAAGATACCACCTCACACCTTCTAGAATTGCTAGCAATAAGACAAGAGGTAAGTGTTGGAGAGGGTGTGGAGTAAAGGGAATGCTTGTACACTGTTGGTGGGGATGTAAACTGGTACAGCCACTAGGGAAACCAATATGGAGGTTCCTCCAAAAATTGACAGTGGAGCTACCTCCTAACCCAGCAGCAATCCCTCTTCTGGGAATCAACCAAAAAAAATTTGAAAAAGCATATCCGTAAAGATATATGTACCCCTGTGTTCACTGCAGCATTATTCATAATAGCCAAGACATGGAAACAACCAAAGTGTCCTTTAATGAATGATTAGATAAAGAAGATGTGGTACATATAGGGTGTCACCCCAAAATCTAAACACTCTTAACAGCAGATAGCTCAACTGGTGTTTTTTTCTTCTCAGATTTAACCCATTGGAATGTATAATTATTCAAAGTGTGTGTACATTTTTTAGGAAACCCTGTATATACAATAGTATCTACTCAGCCTTTAAAAAATGATGAAATAGCCTGGCCAGTGTGGCTCACTGGTTGAGTGTCAACCCATGCACCAAGAGGTCACTGGTTCGATTTCTGGTCAGGGCACATGCCCAGGTTGTGGGCCCAATTCCCAGTGGGGGGCATGCACGGGGTGGCCAGTCAATATTCTCTCCCATCAATGTTTCTATCTCTCTCTCCCTCTCCCTTCCTTTCTCTCTAAAATCAATAAAGAAAAAATATTTAAAATAAATTAAAAAATGATAAAATATTGCCATTTGCAACAACATGGATGGATCTTGAGAATATTATGCTAAGTAAAATAAGTCAGATGAAAAATGATAAGAACCATGTGTTTCACTCATGTGGGATATAAAACAGAAAGCCACACATGAACTAACAAAACACAAACTCATAGACACAGACAACAGTATGATGGTTATCAGAGGGGAAATGATAGTGATGCCATTGTAATAACCTGGTTATTAATTAACAGGAAAGGAGCAAAGAAAAGACCAAATTATATAGCCATGCCATTTGTACAGCTTTGCCAGGAAGCTGAAGTTTAACATTCTCCAGGTCTGTTCCCTACAGGTTGATGCGGAAGGGACTGGACAGAGGTAGTTTAGATGCATGCCCAGTAAGATCTGGGTGATGTGGGAAGATGCTTGCCTGTCAGTCACACCTGAATACAGATCATTGGCCGGAATGAGCGTGGCCACTGCAAGTGAGGGAAGATTCGATATTTAAACTCCTGAACATAGGAGTTCTGCCCTCTTGGCTCTCCTGGCCCTCTTGGCCCTCTTGGTTCTCTCTCTTGCTTGCTCTCACCTGACTTCTGGCTTTCGGAGCTCTCATGCTTCTGCAGTCATCCACATGGCTCAGGACCATGTGGACCCCACACACAATGGACTAATGGACTACAGTCTGATGCTGCATGCGACTCAGCTCCACCAGGGAAAGGAAACTTTGAACACTGGCTTTGCTTTTAGCTCTGCCGAATCCCCAGCTGCATATCTTCCAGGACTGGTTTAAGGATAATGGGACTTTGCAAACCTAGGGATGTGACTACGTGCTATTAAAGCTTTTTACCACATCTCATTCTCCCATGGAGGCCTCCAGAAATGCTTATTTCAGCAGTGCCCCAAGAACCCCGTTCTCATTAGCACCGGAGAAGGGCAATCCACAAAATTCTCCAATCACAGTAGGAGACTAGACTTTGGATGGTGAGCACACAATGCGATATAGAGATGCTCTATTATAGAATTATATACCTAAAACATATAATGTTACTAACCAATGTTACCCCAATAAATATAATTTACAAAGAAAATGTGATTGATACACACATGCAATGGAATGTTGTTGTGTTTTTTTTTTTAATCATCTTCACCAGAAGCAATATATTAATCACTATCCTATCATGATCATCCTATTCCCATTGTCCCTAGACTTTATCTCTGAGTTATATCAGAGAACATTCTCTCTTTCTTCTGTCACTTTAGGCCTTGAGCCCATTTCAGAGTCCCTTCCGCTTAATTGAGCCTTATTTCTGCAATTAGGTGTTCATTGTCACTGCATTACTGGGCACCTGTTTGTATTTGTCATCTACTACATATGTTGTCTTTTTGTCCAAGAGAACATGTGATCTTCCCTGTGAATTTATAAAAATACTATTTATTTCATGTTTTTCCAGTGACTGGTATAGAATACAATGGGCACTCAATAAATATTTTCAGCTGATTTCTATTTCATATTCATGATATTCTCTCCACTTAGGAAGTTGTATCAGCTTTCCCAAGACACACACAGGTCGTTCGGAACTCTAGTGTTCCCTGTGATGATTTCCTGGTTTAGTCAGGCCAGGGGCCTATTTATTTGTCCCTGTGCTTCCTGCCGTCCAGTCATTTAGTTGCAGTTCTGTCATTCTTGTGTTTATCCCATTTCTCCTGTACACAGCATGTTTCTCCAGGAAATACTGCCTCACCACCCTCCACTGAGTTCAGAAGAGCCTCCGCACACAGCCTGAGATGTTGCCTGACTAAGGCTGAATATCTACAAAAGGGGGCAAAAAAACCTCAATTCATTGACTTTC